TCACCGTCACCAATGACAACGACCTCAGCTGTGATGTAAGTTCTTGGGGCGCCCCATCAGTTCTTGGCTCAGCTCTGACCATGTTGCAGGTCTGGGTTCTGTTCCTTTTATGTGAGGACTGTGAGAGGTCATTGTGTAGCCCCAGCAGGAGGCTTAACACACCCTGCCTTAGAGAGGGGTGTCTGGCAAACACCTCATTGAGGTGCAAGCTCTGGAAGGCACAGGGGTTTCTTCGTTCCTCCCTTTTTGGGGGGGTGGGGAAATGATTATCAGCCATGCTTCTCCAACTCAGGGTCTCTACTGTGAGTGGAACAGGGGCTGGGACGAAGGGGCCCGGTGACTGGCATTCTGTGCTGTGCACCTTGCACAGGTCACCGGGAATTTCTGGGTTAAGTTTGGGTGCGTTTTTCCAGGGCAGAAGATGAAGTGACTGACCCCAGTGAGATTGGAGACTAGTGTAGAATGCAGAAGTGAGGCAAGCAGGAGTGAGCTGCAGGGTTCCTCAGGCTGCCCCACGGTGCTGCAGGGAATGGGGAACCCACTTGAGCACAGATCCTCCAGTTCCTAAGAATCTTGGTAGAAATGCCAACTGAGCCCAGGTGACGGGGGTCTGAAGGTGCTGAGCTTCCCAAACCTGGCTGCCTCCTCGCAGTGAGTAGCTTCCCCTTGTAGGACACATGCTCAGAGCATCTCTCCTGGAGCCTGATGGGTCTGCTTCCCAGCCTCCCCTGCCAGGGAACTGTCTCAAGCTCCCCATTCAGGGCTTGTTCCTTAGGGCTCTATAGCCTGGAGACCTATCTCCAGTCCCTCTGACCTTCCCCCCCCAATCCCAGCAGCCTTAGAAAGGCTGGGACCTGCTGTCATCCCACTGTTCTGCAGCCCCGTGTGGCTTCTCATTTCTCCAGGGCCTTTGCTTGGGATGGAACAAATTGCGGGTTTCTGAGCGGGACCCGCTCCTCTGCCTGCCGTTGACCTCTCTAGCTTCCTCTCGTGTGGCCTGCTCCTAAATGTTGTGTATCCCAGCTTCCTGCCTCAGGGCCTTTGCACACGCAGCGTCTTTCTAAAGTCCCTTTCCCCTTGCCTGATGCTGGTTAAGTCCTGCTTGTTTGTCACTACCTCACAAGAGCCTCTTGGTCCCTGCAGAGGAAGCTAGACTGCCTTGGTGTCCCCTTCTCATGCTCAGAGTTCCTGGTTCTATGCATTTAGGATATATCTTTCTCCCTGAGGGGCCTCTGAACTGTGAGGCCCCAAAGAGTAAGGCTCGCTTGGCCCCTTCAGAATCCCATACTGCTGAAACCTGCTGAGTATGTGAAGGGCTCTTCTGGGCCTGCAGAAGGGAAGTCAGGCTGGGACTGGTCAGTTCCAGCCTGAAGGGGGTGGGTGGTGTCAGTGTCTGTACGAGTGCTGGGATATACAGGAGGACACTGAGGCAGCTTCCCATCCCCAGCTGTCTGACAGCAAAGACGCCTTCAAGAAGACATGGAACCCTAAGTTTACCCTCCGCTCACACTACGATGGCATCCGCTCCCTGGCCTTCCACCACAGCCAGTCAGCACTGCTCACTGCCTCTGAGGATGGCACACTTAAGCTGTGGAACCTTCAGAAGGCAGTTACAGCCAAGAAGTAAGGATGCCATCCTGGAAGGGGCGGGGCCCTGGGACCTGGGGTCTCAGTGACGAGATTCCTCCTTTTCCCACAGAAACGCTGCACTGGACGTGGAGCCCATTCATGCTTTCCGCGCTCACAGGTAGGGAGATAGATGCCTGAGCCTGTCTCAGTCCTGCACCCAGCAGCACGGCCGAGGCTGCTGCCTGCTTCCCTGGGGACCTGGAGCAGCAGTCGCCATCCTGGGCCCTCTGTGGTTTCACTGAGGCCCTTCTGAGCAGTAAAGTGAAAGGGTAGAAGACAGGCAGCTTTCCCAGGTGGCACAGCCAGAGTGTAGATGACAAATTACCTTTGGCATCCTTAAAAAATACCTAGGAAAGGAGACTGATGAGAGGGCTCAGTGGATAAAGATACCTCCTACTGAGCTTGACAACCTAAGTTTGCTCCCCAGGGTCCATGTGAAGAGAATCAACTCCAGAAAATTGTCCCCTGACCTCCGTGTGCACGTTGTGATATGTGACAATAAATAAATTAAACTTTTAAAAATAGCTAGGAGAGCTGGGCATGGTGGCGCATGCCTTTAATCCTAGCACAGGGGAGGCAGAGGCAGGTGGATCTCTCTGAGTTCAAGGCCAGCCTGGTCTCCAGAGCGAGATTCAGGACACCTAGGGCTACACAGAGCAACCTTGTTTCGAAAAACAGACAGCTAGCTAGGAGAAACCCTCAGGCTCCCATGAGCAAGGAAGGCCTGGGCCTTGACTGCCTTCTATCAGCCACCCTTGCACCCTGCAGGGGCCCTGTGCTGGCCGTCACCATGGGCAGCAACAGCGAGTACTGTTACAGTGCTGGAGCTGATGGCCGTATCCACAGCTGGAAGATCCCTGACCTCAACATGGACCCGTACGATGGCTACGGTGAGGACAGACCCCTCCCACCCCCACCTCATGTCACAGCCCTGCGAAGCAGCTCTGTGGGGCTCCCTGTCTGATTTAGTATCAGTGAAAAGTGGGTGGGGCAGAGGGAGATGAAGCCGGAGTGGCAGTGGTGAGAGGAGGTTTAGGCTGCACCTGAGAATCAGCATGAGCTGGCCTTTTGGGGAAGCAGAGACAAGAGGTCCTCAGGCAGGGCCACATGGGCTTGGGCAGCTTGTTGGACTCTGTTCTTGGGGACCAGCCAAGGTCTTATTGGGGCTCAGTAGACGGTGTGTTAGAAGCAGAGGAAGTGAGCTGAGCTTCGTCTCTTAGCCCTTCAAGAGTCAAAGCGGAGGAGCCGGGCAGTGGTGGCGCACGCCTTTAATCCCAGCACTCGGGAGGCAGAGGCAGGCGGATCTCTGTGAGTTCCAGGCCAGCCTGGTCTACAGAGGGAGTTCGAGAACAGTCGGGACTGTTACACAGAGAAACCCTGTCTCTGACCAGTGTCACTGGGTGTATCAGTCACACTCTAGGGCAACACAAAACAGACTCCATGTTGTTGGGGTTGGTTTTCATTTTTTATCCTCTGCATTAGTGTGTCTATTTTTTTTTTTTTTTTTTTTTTTTTTTTTTTTTTTTTTTTTGAGAGAGAAAGAGCATGAAGCTGGGTGGGTTAGGAGGTGGGAGAATCTGGGCAGAGTTGGGGAGGGAAAGAATATGATCACAATGTATTTTTTTCCATTTTTTATTTTTTGATTTCATTTTACATTCCAACCACAGTTCTCCCTCCCACCCCATCACAATATATTTGATGAAAAAAATTCTTTGAATACATTTTTGAAAACAAGTGTCTTACAGGCTGAGTATAATGACACACACCTTTAATCCCAGCGCTCTGGAGGCAGAGGCAGGCGGAACTCAGTGAGTTTGAGGCCAGCCTGGTCTCCACAATGTGTGTTCTAGGCCAGTTGGGGCTATACAGTAAGATCCTTTCTCAAAAAAAAAAGAAAAAGTCTTTAAATAAATCCCAGCTCTTGGGGGCTGGAGAGATGTCTAAGTGGCTAAGAACACTGGCTACTTTTCCAGAGGACCTGGATACAACTCCCAGCACCCACCTGGCAGCTCACTGCTGTCTATAACTCCAGGTCCAGCGGACCTGACACCCTCATACAGACATATATGTAAGCAAAAGACCGATGCACATAAAATTAGAATAAATAAATCAATTTTTAAAAATAGAGAGAGACTTCGGGTCTGCTTAATTTAAAATCTTTAGTTTGGTTTTTCAAGACGGCTTTTTTTTTAAGTGAGGAGATACCCAAAGTCCCTCACACTCAGTGCCCTTGCCCTACCTACTCACTGATGCCTGTTTGACTCTCTTTGCATGTATCTGTGTGTGTTCCAGATGGCTGTGAGCCACCATTTAGTCTGGCATGAGAGCAAATGCTGTTACCCAATGAGCCGTTTCTTCCACCCCATGGTGTTTGTTGTTTTGAGACAGGGTTTCTCTGTGTAACAGCCCTGGCTGCCCTAGAACTGGCTTTGTAGACCACACTGGCCTCGAACTCACAGAGATCCTCCTGCCTCTGCCTCCCCAGTGCTGCCTTACTCTTGAATATGGCCTTGTGCTAAGTTTGTTGTGGCAGGGTACAGAGTTGTATTTACTGTCAAGGTAACAGTTATCAGTCCTAAGTGAACTGCCATACTTCAGGTGTCAGCTGGACTTGAGCCAGAACTGTGTGGCGTCCCAACAGCTAGAGAGGCCAAAGAAAGTCCTTTGGGCAGCAGAGGCTGTTGCGAACCTAGCAAGAAAAGACATTCCAGGGGCTAAAGGGGCAAGACCCTGGTTTGTAGGGACAGCACTGCCCCTCTTGCTCCACTGGTGGCGCTGGTCTTGGGAAGACAGTGAACTCAGAAGCCTCATTTTCTAAGCTGTCGAGCTGTTCCTGAGCCCTAGAGACTACCCAGAGGAGCCTGAGGTCCGTGGGCAGCCACCAGGTCCCAGCAGAGCTGCAGCCCCTGGGCCGTCCAGTGGGCCTGGCATCTCTAATAGCCTATTTCCTCCTGGCCTCCCCAGACCCAAGCGTGCTGAGTCACGTCCTGGAAGGCCATGGGGATGCTGTGTGGGGTCTGGCTTTCAGCCCCATCTCCCAGCGACTAGCATCCTGCTCCGCTGATGGCACCGTTCGCATTTGGGACCCCAGCAGCAGTGGTCCAAGCTGCCTCTGTACCTTCCCCATGTCTGGAGGTGAGTGTTGACCCCAGTGTCTCAAGCAGGATGCAGAGCCCAGGGCTCGGGGGGGCTCCTGGGGAGGGCCCCCAGCCACAGGGCAGGACAGGCCCCTTGAGTAGCCTTTTCTCTCCTGTGCTCTCAGAACACGGAATCCCCACCTCAGTGGCCTTCACCAGCACCGAGCCTGCCCATGTCGTGGCCTCCTTTCGTTCTGGTGACACTGTTCTTTATGACTTGGAAGCTGGCAGTGCCCTCCTCACATTGGAGTCCCGAGGGAGCAGCGGTGAGGGCCCTTGGCCAGGCAGGCCAATGGGACTGGGGTTTGAATGCCCATAGGACCCCAGTTCCTCCCGTAGCTCTGGGGACCTAGCCATCAGTGAGATCAGAGTGTTACCCATGTGCCCTCAGGGGGCCACAAGCAGGAAGGAAACAAGGCTCAGTGGTGGCCAGCCAGCTTGACACAGTGGGTTGGGCAGCATGTCTCTAATTGCAGAAGTGGCCTGCCCCTCCTCCCTCTGTCCCAGTGCTCCTGTTTCCCTCCTCAGTCCCCTTCCTCTCCCCACTTAACCTTCCAGGCCCAACACAGATCAACCAGGTGGTGAGTCACCCCAATCAGCCCCTCAGCACC